GGGGTTCAGTACCATTGTGGTTTCAGGCATCCACTGAGTGTCTTGGGACAGACATATCCTAGGCCAATAAGTGGGGACTACTGTACTGCATTTTTGTTTGTTTGTTTTTGAGATGGAGTCTTGCTCTGTCGCCCAGGTTAGAGTGCAGTGGCGCTACCTTGGCTCACTGCAATTTCTATCTCCTGGGTTCAAGTGAGTCTTGTGCCTCAGACTCCCGAGTAGCTGGGATTCCAGGTGAGTGCCACCATGCCCAGCTACTTTTTGTATTTTTAGTAGAGACAGGGTTTCCCCATGTTGGACAGGCTGATCTTGAACTCCTGACCTCAGGTGATCTGCCCACCTCGGCCTCCCAAAGTGCTGGGATTACAGGCGTGAGGCACCACACCCAGCCTTGTACTAAGTTTTTGAAGAAATTCTATTGCTAAAGAAACCACAAATCTGACTTGGAAATGCCAGTCATTGTTCATATCCTAAGGCAGTCTCTAGGAAAACATATTCTCCAACATCCACTTCAATTTTTAACCTGAAGAATAACGCACAAGGAAGAACCTCCCAGAGGGGTAAACCCAGGGGCCCAGATGAGGTTAATCAAGGAATTTATGTCATGGCCAGTGGAGAGATTTCTCCTTGGAAAGAAAACAAACAAACAAACAAACCAACAGGCAATTAAGGACTACTGATTGTTTCAGGTTGCCATTCTTTTATTTTTCAAATGGAAGTTTTTATTGTGGTTAATTCTGTTTCTGTTCTAACCTTGCATATTGGGTTGAAAGTGGGGATTGAGTATCTTTCTTTTATGTTATAGGTCATCAGGCTGTAAGTAGCCATATCTGGATGTATCAGAGCAGGCTGTACTTCCCCCAGAAGTACTGACCTTGAGCTGGCTGCAGAAAGTGGATAGGACCACAGGCAGAGAGGGAGATTGAGCTGTATGTAAATAAGAGTCCACTCAGATATTTGGGTGTCCCAAGGGATTGACTCTATCTCTTTGTTAGCCTTCACCTTAATGTAATGCAGTGTTATTGGGAGAACCGATCTGTTTATTCAGAAACCTGTTACCTGCATATTGACAATTCCGAAATTCATATGTCCAACCAGGATTCTCTTCTATGTTCTAGACCCATATATGTTATCCAAATACTGGATACCTTTGCATGAATTTACCACAGGAGAGACCTCAACTACAACACGTCCCAAACTGAAATTATTTCCTTTTACCTTAACCACGTGTGTCTTCTGTGGTAGATTGCAATAAATAGTCATAATCTTGTCCCATCTCTTTATATATGCCCCTGTGCAATGTGACTTTTCTGTTTTTCTCATTAAGAGATGGACTCCAGATCTCTACTTCATTGTGTCCATGTTGGCCTATGACTTGTTTTGACCAAAAAATGCATAAAAATAATGATATGGGAATTTTGAGCCTGGACCTTAAGAAGCCTTGCTCTCAGTCTCTTGGAAAGTTCCTGTCATCATGTGAAGAAACTTGGGCTAAGCACACCCCTTTTTTCTGATATAAGGTCTCACTCTGTCACCCAGGTTGGAGTGCATTGGTGCCATCATGGCTCACTGCAGCCTCAACCTCTGTGGCTCAAGCAATCCTCCCACCTCAGCTTCCCAAGTAGTTGGGACTACGAGTGCATGCCATCACACCTGGCTAATTACATTTTTTTTTTTTTTTTGGTAGAGATAGAATCTCACTGTTTCCCAGGCTGGTGACTAACTTCTGGGCTCAAGTGATCCTCCTACCTTGGTCTCCCAAGGTGTTGGGATTACACCATGCCTGGCTGGCTAGCTTCTTTGAGGATAAGAGTCTACATGGAGAAGGATGCCCAACTGACTTCCAGCACCAACTTGCGAGGCCCAGTGAGATCTCTTGTACCATAATTATTAATAATTTTTAAATGGCAGCAACAGAATAATAAACCCTGCCAAGTGAGTGCTCTATGCCACTGCACAGGTTAGACATCTGTGAACTGGTCTTGATCACCAGAGAGGTTATTTGGACCATCAAGACCCCACCAACCTTCCAGGTGACTGTGACTACATGAGTGAGCTCAGGTGAAACCAGCAGAAGAACTTCCCAGCTAAATCCAGCCCAAATACTGACCCCCCACAGAATTGTTAACTGATAAATGATTGTTGTTTTAAACCACTAAGTTTTGTGATCATTTGTTAGGCAGCGATAAATAACTAAAACTTACTTAGTCCCTTATCTCCTATCCTGGATAATTAAAGCCTGAATCATTTAACTTCACCCATCCTATGAGGCCTGAGGAATTCTTCAGGCTTTCTACTTACTTGTGCATCCATGAGTATGAGTTGTGGAGTCAGACTACACGAGTTTAAATTCTAGCTCCCCTTCTAATGTGACCTTGAATGCATTATTTGTGCCTGTATTTCTTCATCTGTAAAATGAAGATAACCTTATCTTTCTTATTAGGGTCTGTGAAGGTTAAATCACGTAACAAATGAACAGCACTTAGCACGGTGACTATGCTTAATAAATGTCATGATTGCCTTGGATCCAATCATGCTGTACATAAGATTCAGAATGAAACTTGCAGGAGTACTACAGAAGACTGCTGGGATCACACAGGAAGTTTTCAAGGAGGTCAAAAACAGACATGGTCCTACAGAAACTACAAATTAGTGTAAATGACAAACTTGTGCTCTGGAGTCAGACTTTCTACCTTCATATATCAGCTCTGCCACTTGTTCTGTTTCTTGGCACATTACTTAACCTCTTTCTTTTTTTTCTTTCTTTTTTTTTTTTGAGACAGAGTGTTGCTCCATTGTCCATCAGTGCAGTTGCATGATCTTGGCTCACGGCAACTTATACCTCCCGAGTTCAAGCAATTCTCCTGCCTCAGCCTCCCAAGTAGCTGGGATTACAGGTGCCCGCCACCATGCCCAGCTAATTTTTTGTATTTTTAGTGGGGACGGGGTTTTTACCATGTTACCAGGATGGTCTCAATCTCCTGACCTCGTGATCCGACTGCCTTGGCCTCCCAAAGTGCTGGGATTACAGGTGTGAGTCCCTGTGGGCAGCACCTCTTTAGGTCTTAATTATGTATACTGTAAAATGGGAATAATAAAAGGAAATCCCTCATAGTATTATTGTGATGATTAAGTGAGGACTAAATTATTAAGTCATGTAGGCTTGCCACATGGAATATTCACACTACATGATATTTGAAAAGTGAGTATTGGTCAAAAAGGCAAACCAAAATTGCTTTAAGAGAAAAATTACCAAACATAAAGTACACCATATACAAGACTGCAAACAAGATTTGACGTAAGCAATCAGGAGCCAAAGGGAAGATAAACAACTTAAGTTTAGAGAGGAAGGCAGACGTGAAACCATTCAAAACTGTAGTCATTGCATCAGAAAGTATCGGAGTTGTGGTTCCTCAATCTCTCTGCAAGCTACAGCAGCAAAGCAGAAGGTACACTAGCAGCAGGCTTTGGATTGTAGATAACAGTTAAAGCAATCCGAGGTTCTTCCCTACCAATTAGCCAGTCAAGTTTTCAGTAGAGGAGTGACATTTAGAAAGAGTACCTTGACAACAACTGGAGAACAGAAAGAGCAGGACAGAAGGTCCACTGCCTGTTTTTGTAAATAAAGGTTTGGAACATAACCCTTGTATTGAATCATTCATGTATTGGCTATTGCTGTTTCCTGGCTTTAAGTGTAGAGTTGAGTAACTGTGACCATCTGGCCCACAAAGCCTGACCTATTCTTTAAGAAGTTATTTGCTGATCCCAAGGAGACTGTTGCAGTAACCTGGGGTAAGACAAGGGTGGATAGCTTTGGGGAAGGGACAGTAAGAATTTTGGAAAGGCAAACCTATAGATTGTGCCAAATAGTCAATGTTTCTGAGGAAAACATGACCCACATATCAGTTGGGATCATCTGTTTTGTTTTTAAACTAGATAACATTGACTCAAGCCCCTATTACACAACTGTTATATTATACAGTATTTCATGAAGTATCCTGCCACTTTTCCAGACATTTGATTTCAGTACTACCTCTGGCCCCTGCTAATGGGTTCAGTTTATGGACTATTTTGCTGGACTCTAGGTGTGCTATCTCCTTTCTGCTCCTTTTTGATCTAGCATTGCAACTCGGCCCCATCCTGTGATTTCTTCATTTACCTCACCACCACCTCCCCTCACGCCATGTGTGTGTCTTGCAGAGGTATGGGAATTTAAGGGTAGTGGAAAGCCTACTGGAAATTTGGAAGAAATAAGGGGAGTTAAAGAAATACAAGTAACTTAGAATAGTACACATTTCAAAAAAGCATTTTAGGCATACCATGAAGATACTCTGCCATCCCTTTCTTTTCACTCTTTCTCATCTCTTCTGTCTTGTCCCCAACTCCTTCTACATCCCCAAGTTAATTTCTTTTTCTTCTCCTTAAAAATGTTTTTTTTCCTTGATACATAATAGATATACATATTTTCAGGGTACATGTGATAGTTTGATACCTTTATACACTTTGTAAAGATCAAGTCAATGTAATTAGGATGTCCATCACCTTAAATATTTGCCTTTATGCTAAAAATTCAAATTATTCTCTTATAGCTATTTTAGAATATACAATAGATTATTGTAAACTGTAGCCACACTACTGATTCCAAATTAATTTCTGATATAGAAGAGTCCCTCTTCTTATCCTATCTCTTACTAACCCAAGTTTTCAAGGCACACCATATATGTATAATGACGCAAGATGTTTTCCTCTGAGAAGAATTCTACTGCCAGCTATGAGAGAAATGGTTTAATTTCACTCTAGTAGCAAGGTTTCTTGGCCACAATGAGACATTGGTTTGGATCAAAAAATGTGTAATCCAACTCATCCAGCTGGAGGAGCCAGGAAAGGAGGTAGTCCAAGATGGGAGTAATGAAATAGTGAAACCCAGATCACTTCCACAGGAGTAGTGTAAATACCTAAGAGGTGTGTGTGAGGTTGTAAATGAGAGAGGAGGCCAGGAATCAGGAACAGAGGAAATCAAACAAAGGAATTTTATTGTAGACTCTTGCCCCCTTTTGAAAGGAGATGGTGTGGTAACTTTTATATATATTCCACTTCATAGAGTATTAGACACACTGTAGGGACACAAGAAATGTTTGATAAACAGAACTCTTCATGCCATTCCTGAAATCTAGTTCTTTTTGTGCTCCTGGGGCTTTGCTGTTTTGATATAGATCAATTTACTGCACCTGAAAAAATCAAGCAGCATTAGTTTTATTTCTAAACTACCCAAGCAAAAGAGTATCAGTAAGTGTATCTAATATGTTCTTCCTTCAAATAGATGGAAACTAGCTCTCAATAGATTTGTATCATAACAACATCAATAACAATAAACAATGTTACCACCATCATTTATTGAATGCTGACTAGATCTGATATACAGGATCAGATCTAGATAGCACAATGGTCTGTGTACTCTCATTTAGGCCTCATAATAGCCCTATTATTATATTAATTTTACAGATGAGAAGATTCTGGCTCAAAGAGGTTCTTTTTCCTAAGGTCATAATAACTGGTGGTTTGTCTGACTTCAATACTCTTGATCTCAATAACACTAGTCCTGGCTGCCTCATAACTGGTTGCCCTGCCCCATTTCTAAACTTTTGTTCTCCTTATTCTGTTGCTTAAAATCCTTCATTGTTTCCTCATCTCCTCCAGGGCAGAGTCTACGTAATTCGGTGTAGCATAGTTTATTTTTCATAATCCTTGACCACTTTAGTGGCCTAGCTTCTCCTGCTGTTTCCATAAATGCATACTGAGTTCCAAACATTTGTGGTTCCTGGGGGACAGGCCCAGCTCCTCCATGCTTCCGTGGTTTCGCATGTTCTCACTCATTCTGTGGTATTCTTCCTCCCCATCTGCCTGGGCTTCAACACCAGAAACCCAAGTTCTAATAAATCTCTTTTCTGAGATCTCTTAGTCTCTCTGGATTTTGATTCTCCTGTTAGAAAAATTGAGATGATCCTTCCTCGGTTTGGAAACAGGTTACCTGTAATGAATTGTGGTCTTGCGTCTCAGTGGCTGTATCATTTTGGGAAAGTTGCTAGGCTTCTCTAAGCCTCAGGTTTTTTTCTAGAACAGGATAGGCCGGGTGCGGTGGCTCACACCTGTAATACCAGCACTTTGGGAGTCCTAGGCGGGCGGATCACCTGAGGTCAGGAGTTCAAGATCAGCCTGACCAACATGGGGAAACCCCATCTCTCTAAATACAAAATTAGCCAGGTGTGGTAGTGCATGCCTGTAATTCCAGCTACTCGGGAGGCTGAGGCAGGAGAATCACTTGGAGCGGAGGTTGTGGTGAGCCAAGATCGCGCCATTGCACTCCAGCCTGGGCAACAAGAATGAAACTCTGTCTCAAAAAAAAAAAAAAAAAAAAAAAAAAAAAAGAACAGGGTAATGATGTTTCTTTAGAATAGTGCCTGACACGTAGTAAGTATTATCTTATTATCACTATCTGGTCAGGTGCAGTGGCTCACGCCTATAATCCTAGCACTTTGGGAGGCTGAGGGGGGCAAATCACTTGAGTCCAGGAGTTCGAGACCAGCCTGGGCGACATGGTGAGTTAGAAATGATTCATTATTATATGGATCTTGCACAAACTAAATAAGAAAAACATGATCTGGGATAATAGTTATTACCACATTGTGCTTCCTTAGGGATTACCTGCTCACCTTTTAAGATTCAGCTCAAATTCACATTTATAATGCCTTTCTGTATGCATTCTGTACACTTTACACATAGTCATTTTGTCAATTGTGCTAAAAAAACTCTATTTTTTATGTATTATATCACGTGTAGTTATTTGTTTAAGTCCTCATTTTCTCTGCTAGTCTGGACTCCTTGAGGACAGGAATTATTTTATTATTCATCCAAAGTTAGCATAAATAGATATTTAATACACTTCAGTAGATTGATTGCACATATACATTCATTAATAAATAAGAATGAGCCTCAAGGAACTTATAGTTATTACAACAATGACGATGATGACAATGATGATGTAATGTTTATTGAGCATAATTTGCTCTACACTGTCCTAAACTCTTGGCACTCATTAACTCATTCAATTCTTACCAACTCTATTAGGTATTATCCCCATGAAAGTTTTTTTTTTTTTAAATTATAAACTATTATTATCACTATTTGGTCAGGCACGGTGGCTCACACCTACAATCCCAGCACTTTGGGAGGCTGAGGCAGGCAAATCGCTTGAGTCCGGGAGTTTGAGACCAGCCTGGGTGACATGGTGAAACCCCCTCTCTACTAAAAATACAAAAAATATAAAAATTAGCTGGGCATGGTGGCACAGGCCATGGTCCCTGCTACTTGGGAGGCTGAGGTGGGAGGATCGTTTGAGCCTGGACAACAGAGTGAGACCCCATCTCAAAAAAATATGCATATGCATATATATACACACATATAGAATAAAGAAATTCACAAACATAAAAAAATCTTATTACTATTTTACAGATAAAGTAACAGGTTCAGAGAAGTTAAGTAACACACTCGAAGTCATATAGCTAGGAAAAGGTGTACAAAAAATTTATGCTTCAATAGAAAATCCTGCATTGCTGGCTGCACACTTTGGGAGGCTGAGGCGGGCAGATCACCTGAGGTCAGGAGTTCGAGACTAGCCTGGCCAACATGGTAAAACCCCGTCTCTACTAAAAATTAAAAAATTAGCTGGACATGGTGGTGCATACCTGTAATCCTAGCTACTCCGGAGGCTAAGGCATGAGAATCACTTGAACCCAGGAGGCAGAGGTTTCAGTGAGCCGAGATCGTGCCACCACTCCAGCCTGGGCAACAGAATGAGACTCTGCCTCGAAAAATAATAACAATAAAAAAAGAAAAAGAAAATTCCACATTGCTTAGACAGCACCTTCCAGATCATCTGATTCCTGACTTTAATTGTCTTTGAGCCATTTTACAACTCAGTATGTCTTTTTCGGATTTGCTTAAAAACAGGTTGTAACATCTGCCTGATTCCCTCACTGAATTAGTTAAATAAAATCTTTGACATTATTTCCTTTTCTATCTGTATCAGTCATGATTTTAGCTTTTTCTGAAAATTATCTTTTAAGAAAGATATAACTGGAATGCAACCCCAATTCTGACTTCAAGGCCCATTTATGCAACTCAAAGGTCTCCAACTTTTTTTTTTTTGAGATAGAGTCTTGCTCTGTTGCCCAGGTTAGAGTGCAGTGGTGCAATCTTGGCTCACTGCAACCTCCGCCTCCCAGGTTCAAGTGATTCTCCTGCCTCAGCCTCCCAAGTAGCTGGGATTACAGGCGCCCACCACCATGCCCGGCTAATTTTTGTATTTTTAGTAGAGACAAGGGTTTCACCATCTTGGCCAGGCTGGTCTTGAACTCCTGACCTCGTGATCCACCCGCCTCAGCCTCCCAAAGTGCTGGGATTATAGGTGTGTGCCACCGCGCCTGGCCTAGGTCTCCAACTTTATGGGCACTTTACTGGGGAGCTTCTTTTTATTTTTATTTTATTTATTTAGAGAAAGGGTCTTGCTCTGTCATCCAAGGTAGAGTACAGTGGCGTGATCATAGCCTACTGCAGTCTCAAACTCACTGCAGTCTCAGCCTCCCAAGTAGCTGGGACTACAGGTACATGCCATTGTGCCTAATTAAAATATGTGTGTGTGTGTGTGTGTGTGTGTGTGTGTGTATTTTGTACAGATGGAGTCTTGCTATGTTGCTCAGGCTGGTCTCAAACTCCTGACATTAAGAGATCCTCCTTCCTCAGCCTCCCTAGGTGTTGGGAGCCACTGTGCCCAGCCAGGAGCTTCTTTTTACTGTGTTCTACCTCAAGAGACTCTGATTTAGAAGGTTTTTGGTTTTGTTTTTGTATTTTTAACATGACTCCAGTTATTCTGTTGCAGGTGGTCTGAAAAACACTGCTTTGAACAACTCTATGATACTGCTTTCCTGGTAGGAGAAATAAAGTACCTGTACAAAGCAAGCTATAAATTTTCTCAAACTCTCAAATAGAAAAGAGGGAGAGAGAAATTCTCAGCCTTAACTAGGAAAGTTTTGACAAGGAAAGATGTGAGGAAAAGATCATGTGTGTGTTGGGGGCAACATGAGCAAAGGTAGAGAGGCAGGAAAATGGAGAATGACTAGTAGTTGGATTTGGCAAGACTGAGTGAAGAGTATGATCGGTAAAAATGGAAATGTAGGTTTGAGCTAGAATGGTGGACATTAACACATTTAGTTAATAGGCAATAAAGGTAATAGAACAATTTTGATTTGAGTTGAAAAGAAGATAACCAACAGTAGGTCAGAAGAATTCTGAAGAGGCAAGAAGTTGCAGACAGAGAGAGATAACTTATGGATGACAAGAAAAGAAAAGTTATGAGATTACAAGGATTTGAGGACTCTTCTAAAACCAATGAATATTTATTGAGGGTCTATTTTGTGTGAAAACGTGGTACTGAGTAATGGGAGAAAATGGAAAGGTAATTATTAACTTGGTATGATCCCAAGGAGACATAAGAGGAAAAGGATGGTATACAGGTCTAAATTTGGTGAGTGAGAGCAAGAGTAGAGGAAGTAAATGAAAAATACGTAGGGAGTCCAACTGACAGAATTTGCTGTGTACTTGGATATAGAGAGCTGAGCAAGAGGGAGGAATCTAGGAAAATTGAAGTCTCTAGGTTGGGTGATTAGAGGCATGATGACTTTGTGAACTCAGAGAAAGAAGAGTATGGAAAAGAGGAGGGATCATGAGTTATATATTTTATTGCATTTGAAGAACCTGGGAAAACATAGTAGAATCTTGGGAATATAGGTCGGAAGCTCAAGAGTGAGAATTTTAGACGGCATATGTGGAATTGATACCAGATACACCTTAATGGATTGGGGGAACGGGGAGGACAGGGTTAAGCCAAAGCTAAGATGGACTTCAAGGTAGGTAAGAACCTGGAGTAGGCAGAAGTGAATTGAGCAAAACGTTAATTGCAAAATTCAGAGCTAAGAATCAAAGCAGAAAAGCCCGTTATGTTCTCAGGTTCAAGGAATTATCAAACTTTGAGATAAAAAGCTCAAGGGCTAGGGGAATGCAGCAAGAGCTAATTGAGAAATGAGAGCAAAAGCAGCGAATAAAGTAGTATACGTATACATATTTGCAGAACTTCTTTTAGCAAGAGTATTTGTTTGGAAGAACTACTTTTCTT